CTGTCTGGCTGCAGATTTCAAAAGGTTTCTCATGGGACATGGTACTATTTTTATACTTTCACATCATGGCTATTGATCCAGCAGGCTGTTCTTATGTTCTTTTTGACACAGAGCAATCATCTGTCACCGCTCTAAATCTTTCCACAGTTCTTAAGATTCACAGCATTTCCTTTACAAATGCATGTGGAACCTGCATGCACCACAATGTCGGATCTCCTTTCTGTTGATTTGCCACTGTTTAGCATGGATAAAAGATCACTGCAACATGCTTCATGTGACAGCCAAATAAGTGGATGGTTATACAATTATCCATCATACTGTCATGGCCCCAGCCAAGTGACAGGAGGATAAGCAGGCTGAGGGAATAAGCCTCTGGAGAACAGCACCAGACTTCTGAGGCTGAGGCTGGACAGGAGCCTGTAGAACCTGAGGATGATGCCCCAGCCAGTTCCCTCACCGATGCCTTCTCATGCCCCTGATTTGCTGGAGGAGACAAGTCCCTCCAGGACTGCTGCAAGGATTGTGCTAGGCAGGAGGTCATGGTAACATGAAGAAGTTCGTTTGCAGGCCAGGGGTTGCATTCTTTGGGCAAGGGGGATGAAGTAGGGGAGGATGGGGCGGAAGAAGAGACTTGTAAGGTCCTTAGTTCACCACTAGCATTTGTCAGAGCATTTTACTCACTGGGAGTTGTCCATGGTGCTGCAACCACTGACCCACATTCCTTAGTGGGCAAGAGAAATTCTATAGAAGAATTTAAACACCAGAGCACCAGGCAAGCCAAAAATACTTTCCACATGGAAGTAATGATAATAATAGTTTTATAATTTGCACCCCACCCATCTGACTTGGGATATCACAGGCACTCAGAGCGGCTTCCAGCTTATATAAAAACATAATAAAGCATTTAATATTTTAAATGCTTCCCTATACAAGGCTGCCTTCAGATGTCTTCTAAAGGTTATATAGTTACTCATCTCCTTGAATAATAATCATTTTAAGTGATCTTGATTGTTTCATATGTGGACCAGTGTCTCTTGTCTGCAATAAACTGCTAGGTTCATTTAGCTAAATGGCGCTGTTTTAGGAGTGTATTATCTGATTGCTGAATGCATCTAGGGTTGCAAAGAAAGAGTCATAGCAGGCTAGAGTGACTGACTAATGTTCTTAATGGTCAGCGATGGGCTCTTTGTGGATGCTGCATGTTAGAAGATGACTTTGAGAAACAGCCAGTCCCTGAAATATATGGAAATGCTATTGGAAGGTGACTCGTTCTCTCCACACCCACCGGCAACTAAGGGGAATGGACTAAGCTCTGTCTGGCAGCAGAGAACCACAATTTTGAGAACAGAGAGACACAGAATGTAAGAGAGCGGGGGGGGGATGAGTTCTGGAAGCACCTTTGAGTCTATTTGGTCTAAAGCAGAGTTCTTGAACTGCTCAACTCTGCCTGTAAATCTTCACACAAACACACCCTATGTCTCCAGCAATGCCCCTGGAACTTCTCACCCTGTGGGAAAGGGGGAAGGATGTAACTGTGTTCCAAAGACAAGCTGGAACAACATCTTAAATGGCAATGTTATGCCCAGGAAGGTCAATGCATAAAATAATGGATCCCAAGAATGACCGCATGGATCTACTTGCACTGGCCTTCTCTGGCCACAGTGTACAATCCTGATATCTGTGAGTAATGGACCACCTCATAATTCAAAAGCAGCTGTTATTTTTCCCACTTGTGGAACAGAACATTTACAAACACAATGCTTTCAGAACTACTTTTCCTTTTACTGTCCCATTTATTCTGTATATGGACTTAATTCTTGCATTAGTGATTCTTGATTTAGATTTGCATTTTATGCACTCAATTATTTTATGCACTCAATCATTGCTCATGGCCATATGCTGCGCTTTAGGTGTTGCTACGTCACAATTCATTGTTCCCTCTATTTATAAATAATACACCCCACATTTAGGTGCAATTTTCACAAGGATGCTCACAGATAAAAAATATTGCTATACAGTGAAAGTGGATTGTCATCAGTTAGGTGATTTTAGCCTAAAGCTTGGATGCTACAAAAGGAACAGTGGTTTTTCTGTTGCGAAAGTTATGCTATATAATTGCTGCTTTTCTCACATCTGAAGTGTTTGACACTTCAAATTGTTAAAATCAGAATTAGTGTATTATTTTCTGAATAATAATCTTCCTTAACTCCACTTGTTACTTTGTTTGTTGCATGGCCCTTACTAAGCTCTGGTTACGATGACAACTTTGTGCTTTGCTTATTATTTCCTCCACTTTTTATGGTGTGTTTCTGCCCTTGAAAGTTGTTGATTAACCAACATATGCAATGTCGGCTGCCACCTGTATTTATGGTACTGTTATCACTAGATCAAAATATCCTGTATGGATTTGAAAAAATAACAGTGTGAGGGTGGACTTTGAAAGGTGGATGAATTTGCTGCTGAGTCTGGGGGGCAAAGTTAACATCCTTAAAATGAATGCCCTGCCCTGTAAAATTTTAGGGCCAGAGGGTGCAGCTTTTGGCCACGATGGTATGGATCTCCTTCTTCATTCCGTTAAAGGGTTGTTTTATATTGCATTAAAAAAATTAAATAACAACAGTGAAATTGTCTCCGCAAAGCTGGGAATATGTCAGTGTCTAGAATCCAGCAATAGTAGTTTATTTGACTGAGCAGAAAAACAAAACTACAGTGCAGAATTCATGGATCTTACTGCCACATGACAGTCCCTAGGTCAGCTGGCTTGAAAGGGGAATTAGGCAAATACATAGATAAGAGGTCTACACATGGCAGTCAGCCATGCTAGCTAAGTGAGTGATCCTTGTTCGGAGGCAGTAAACCAGTTAACTGGAGGAACTGTGGTCTTTAGGCAAGGCTTGTAAGCTTCCCAGAGACATTTGGCTTCTCCCTGTGGGAAACTGGGTCCTGCCCTGTATACGTAGGCCACTGGTCTGATCCAGCAGGGTTCGTCTTCTGTTTTTAACAGTCTTGGAGAGAATCTAGAAGCATATTTTCTTTCAGCCCAACCTGTGGTTTACATAACACCCCTGGAAAACCTCTCAGCACTTCTAAACATTCTTTTAACTTTTCTGAAAATTCATGCCAGTGTTCTGCCTGGGAAGAAACTTCCAGGTGTTGCATCAAATTTTTCTTCAGATCAAGGCCACCAGACATTACTCGTGGCTTGACAAGCTCATGCATGTGGCACACCTTGTGGCCACTATTCTTATTGCAGCTCATTGAGGATTCGATAAACTGCTTGTGTCCGGTCCTCACTGTGCCACGTGCATGAGCCTGTCAAGCCACGAGCAATGGCTGGTGGGCAACGTTTGGCTTGTTGAGATCCAATTTGCACAAGGATGCTGTTTTGTAGCCCTGTGTTACAATACATCTGTACATTCCACCCATGAAGAGGCAGTGTTGTGTCCACTCATGAGGCGGGGTGGGGGGGGACTACTTTGGACCCTGAGGTATTTGATAACTACCACCCTGTTGGGAGAAGGTGCTTGAGAGGGTGGAAATTGGTTTCAAGCACTCTTGCAGGAAACCAGAAATCTGGATCTATTTCCTTCTGGCTTTGGCCTTGGTCATCCTAATGGATTACATTTACTGGGAGATGGGGAGAGGAATGCATAGAATCATAGAGTTGGAAGGGACGCTGAGTGTCATCTATTCCAACCCCTGCAATGCAGGAACACAATCATCAAATTTGCGGATGATACAACAGTGGTGGGGCTCATTAGTGAGAACGATGAGACTGCTTATAGGAAAGAAGTACAGGGGTAAATTCAATGGTGTAAAGAAAACAATCTTATGCTTAACACCAAAAAAACCAAAGAACTCATAATTGACTTTAGGAGAAAGAAAAGCGTATTTTTACCATTGCACATAAATGGCGAGGAGGTGGAGAGGGTTGGTAGTTTTAAATACCTGGGCACTTACATCTCTGAGGACCTCTCATGGACTGTAAATATTAATATGGTTGTGAGGAAGGTGCAGGGGGGGTTGTATTTCCTGAGAATGCTCAGGGGACTGAATCTATCTCAGCACCTACTTCTGTCCTATTATCACAGTACCATCGAGAGTGTCTTAACATATAGTATATTATCGTGGTATGGGAGCAGCTCTGAAACGGATAAAAAGATTTTCAGAGAATAATTAAAATTGCCCAGAATGTTATTGGGCTCCAACTACCAACCCTGGATGAGATCTTCACGTCTCGCACTTTGGAAGAAGTCACACGATATCCTGAGAGATCTCACCCATCCTGCTCACAACTTCTTTGAACTGTTGCCTTCGGGCAGAAGATATAGGACAATGAAAACCACGAACCACACGCCTTCTGAATAGTTTCTATCCAAGAGCTCTGATTGCACTAAATAATGATCTCAGGGCCAGTTGCAAGGAATAGCAAGCAGGGAGTAGGAAGGAATGAGACAGGTTTTTAGGTTATGTTATGCTTTTAATAGGTTATGTTACATTCTGGAGTATGATATGTTTTTATAGATTATGTCTGAATAGGATGAGAGTGTTGGAGATACGTGCAAATGTGTATGTGAACCCGGTCTTCGAGTGGGTGTTTGATTTTCGTTGTTGTGTATACTGTGTATATACGGACAATGACAATAAATTTATCTATCTATCTATCTATCTATCTATCTATCAATCTCCCTTAAAGCATCCGTGGCAGATGGCCACTCAACCTCTGCTTAAACCTCAAATGGTGTGTTTCTGCCCTTGAAAGTTGTTGATTAACTTGAAGTCATTGGTTCAAGTCCTATCCTCCAGCGCAGAAGAAAACAAGCTAGTTCCATCTTTCATGGGACAGCCCATCAGATATCTGAAGATGGTTATCGTATCTTCTCTCTGTCTCCTCTTTTCCAGGCTAAACACACCCAGCTCTTTCAACTGTTTCTTATAAAGCTTAGTTTCCAGGCCCTTGATCATCTTGGTTGCCCTCCTCTGCACACCTCCAGCCTGTCAACATCCTTCGTAAACCGTGGTACCCAGAATTGGACATAGTATTCCAGGTGTGGCCTGACCAAGGCAGAATACAGTGTGACTGTTACTTCCCTTGATCTGGACACTATATATCTGTTGATGCAGCCTAGAATAGCATTCGCTTTTTTTGGTGCTGCATCACACTGTGGACTCATGCATTACCATCTTACTTTTGCTCAATCTGTCCATAGCTTTTGCTATCATAGAACATGTTATCCTGCTGGACCAGCCTGGTGAGTTGGGAGCAACAGGGTCTATGTTAACATAGGTCTGCTCCTACTTACAGAGATGGTTTCAGACTGGGCCACTATACCTCATCCTGTTGACAGCTGTGGATTTTGTAGGGCTGGAAAGAAAGGAGGGGTCTGTCACATACTCCAGAATCCATAGTTGGAGAAATCAGATGGAAGAATACACTGATACAACTTGGTGCAGTTGTTTAGCCGAGGTTTAATTCAAAGACAAAAATAATTTTGTTTCCCTAGCCTCTGTGAAAAACCACATAATGGCTTTATTGGCATACATTCACCAATGGAGATTTGAGAGGGTTTATGTGGTGCCAGAGACTTTAGACCACGAGGAGGAGATAAAGTTGAGATGCATTAGTACTCAAACATCATAAAATCTGCTGTGCTCCCGGGGGCGAGACTGCCAATAAATGAAGAATAAAGTAGTTGTGCTATACGGGGAAACAATGAGGGCAGAAATTGCCAGGGAGTGGGTTCTGTGGGCCTTGGGAGATCTCAGGTGATTCCAGACAAATGGGTGCCCGGCATTTGCAACAACATCCCAAATCTCCTGTCAGAGCTAGGCTGGGCACCAGAACTGGATCTGGGCTTTGTGTTCTTCATTCCTGAAGTCAGCTGTTGGAGCTAGCATACAACACAGCTGGGCGAAGCTTCTGCCCTGTTTACCAGCAAGGTCAGGAAACCAGGACTTAACTGGGGCTAATGGGAGTGAGAGTCCAACAACCCCCCACCTCACCCCACCCGGCTTCAAGGCTCTTTCTAAACCAATTCTGAATGTTGCTTTAAGTACAGAATGGGCAAAGCTCTCTCCATCTGTTGATTCTCTCTCTCCTCAGGGCAGAGGAAATGGTTCCTCAAGGAGGCACAAAACACCCAGGACCCATCTAGCAGCTGTTTTATTTTGTTAAAAGGTGTGTTTGTTTTGAAAGAACAGTTCCTTGCTAAAAACACACACATCAAAACTGCAGGTCTTTTCACCAGGGAACAATATTCTTTTCACCAGGAAAGCAGCTGGTCCTGTAAAAGGCTTCCCTGTGGAACTTCCTTCCGGTGCTGGGAAGATGCTTCAGGGCAAAAGTTCTAACACTGGTTAAAACTGGTGAGGAATTGGCCTAGGGTGTGGGTGGTTGTTTGTGATTGGCTGTGGTGATCTTTGTTTCCATGTGTGAGTGGGGTGGGTGGGTGCACAAGTGAACAGCAGAGAACCTGCACAAGCAGCGCTGACACCAAACCCTACATATATAAAGTAAAATAGAAACATCGCCACCCGACCCCACCCCCCATCTCCACCCCTCTCCCCCTTCTTCTTCCAAATGTCTCAACAAATGAAACTGATTTTTGGAATGAAGTTATATGGCTTTAGTAGAAATATTATAAGGAATTAAGTACAGATAGATTAATAGAGCATTAAAGGGAAAAATAAGGTTAGAATGAGTTAAGATAATTATAGGATAGAAAACAGAGGAAGATGGAAGGAATTGCTGAAATAATTAACAGAAGTGGAATACAAAAAGGGAGGTGTGAGGAGGTCGTGGAAATAAGTGAATGAAAGATGGGATAATGAAATTGTTTGATTTATTTTATTGTCTTTGTCTTGTTTTGTTAATTTGATGTGTTGTATTGTATTGGTTTTTTTTTCTTTTTAGTGTTTAAGTTTTTGGAAAAATAATAAATATTATTAAAAAAAACAAATGAAACTGATTTGTAAAAATGTTACATGGAAAAAATACGAGAGAGAGAGATATTACATATACTTCTGTAAATAAAAAAAATATTTAATAAAAATACATTTAAAAAAACAAAACCGCTGGTGAGGAATGAAATGCAGGCTTCTGAGTAACAAGGTCTGGAATAAACATTTATTAGAGTACAATTAAGGGATTCTTTGGTAGGGGAACAAACCTCTCCTGATGGGTCACATACCCAGTGGATGGAGATGCATCTGAATTCTCCTCACCTGCTATACCAGATGTCTGGCAGGCTTTGTATCCTTACATCTGAGGAGTGGTCTTAGTATTTTGGCTCTTTTATCATAGTGGAATTTCTGTTTTTGTTTTCCATCAGTCCAGCCTGCTTTCAACTGGTGATGATCTGTTGCTCTTGGCTTCCAGAGGGAGTCTTTGGCAGGGATCCTGGAATTGAGCCTTCTGCTCATTAGCCTTTGAGGAGGTGAGCCTTCCAATTCCATGTGTGTGTTGCAGTAGTTCAGCAACCCAGTATATGGATCTTTTCCTTCTTCCTTGGCCTCAGTCCGTATCTGCTTTGCTATTTGTATGTATTTCTCTGCAAGACCATTGGGTTGTGGGTAGTATGGCCTGCTGGTAGTATTAATGAAACCCCACTCCTTTGTAAATTTGCAGAATTCTTCAGAGAACAGTTCATCACAAATGCCATGCCGTGAAAGTGTTGCCTTTGCCTAGTTTATGAGATTATTTAATTTTTAAGAAATTCAGTCATTTCAAAGTAGTGGCTGTAATAATAATAATAATAATAATAATAATAATAATTTGTCATGCATACCCCACCCATCTGGCTGTGTTTCCCCAGCCACTCTGGGCGGCTTCCAACAAAATATTAAAATACAATAGTCCATCAAACATTAAAAGCTTCTCTAAACAGGGCTGCCTTCAGATGTCTTCTAAAAGTCTGTTAGTTGTTGTTCTCTTTGACATCTGGTGGGAGGGCGTTCCACAGGGTGGGCGCCACTACCGAGAAGGCCCTCTGCCTGGTTCCTTGTAACTTGGCTACTCACAGGGAGGGAACCGCCAGAAGGCCCTCAGAGCTGGATCTCAGTGTCCGGGCTGAACAATGGGGGTGGAGACGCTCCTTCAGGTATACAGGACGGAGGCCGTTTAGGGCTTTAAAGGTCAGCACCAACACTTTGAATTGTGCCCAGAAACGTACTGGGAGCCAATGAAGGTCTTTCAAGACCGGTGTTATGGCACCTTGGCTGCCGCTCCCAGTTAATAATCAGCCATCAGCGAAGTGATGCCTTCTTTCCAGTTCTGTAGCCAGAAGTGCTGCCAGGCTCTGCTAGGCCCCACCGAATTATCATGGGCTCTTGGCAGTTCGGTTTTTGGTGCTTTGCGCAAGTGCCACAGTTTTTGACCATCTTCTGTGTTTGTGCATTCATGCCAGGGCAGTAGCGGATGCCCTCTCCTCTTTCGAAGGCAGACCATTTTCTACTGTTAGTTCCATCTTATCATTCCAGAAATCGCTTATGGTTGAGGGAACTTGATGCCCGTGGACAGGCCATCCTGCTCTTGTGGTTTCTTTCAGTACAGACATTGCCTCATCTCTGTCTGGTTTCTTCCAGTTAGTTTGTAGGTGCAAGAGATGCTGTAACATCATGCGCAGCTTTTCTTCTAAGTCTTTCTCCTCTTTGGCAGTTTGTCCTTCTACACAGCAGATCGTCTGGAGGGACGGCTTTCCCAGGCTTGTATGTTACTTTTAAATTGTACCATTGAAAAGTTACATTTGTGCTCTGTAGAGTTGGTGGAGCAGAGGCTAGACGTTACTCTAGGATGCTTTTGGGGATTTGTGGTCAGTGTCTGCAGTTACAAAACGTCCACAGAAGTACTGATGGAAGGGAAGGAAGGGAAAGGAGATTGTTAGCCGCTTTGAGACTCCTGAAGGGGAGTGAAAGGCGGGATATCAAATCCAAACTCTTCTTCTTCTTCTTCTTCTGATGAAACTTCTGACACCCAGAACAAATAGCAATTAGTTCATTTTCCATTTGGCCCTGATTCTCCTGAGGATGTTGATGCTTTGGAAGCGTATGCCCCCTCGGGGGGGGGGGGACCTTCCTGGGGTAGGGCTGTCCCAACTGCTTCTTGTGAGGCGCCTACCTGCAGTGTTAATTCTTTATTTTAACCATAATATTTCAGTTTGTTTCTTGGGCAATGGCTTCTTTCATGTTCGAAAGTGTCATCTTGACACTGTTGTCCCAGTACCATTCACTGCTTTTTTCCTTTTGTTCTGTTAAGGGGACTGTGGTTTTTGTGCGCCTCAGAATGAACTTTGATAGGCATGACACCATCCCGAACATAGTTCCTAGTTCTTTTTAGGGATTTTGGCGCTCATAGCTGTATTATGGCTTCGAGTTTGTTTGGGTCTGGCTCCCTTTTCAAGAATGTGACCAAATTACCTTATTTGCTCTTGATCATGGCCACTGGGCCCATCACCTCCTGGCAAATAGAAGGGGAAGAAATGGAGGCAGTGAGAGATTTTACTTTCTTGGGCTCCATGATCACTGCAGATGGTGACAGCAGCCACGAAATTAAAAGACGCCTGCTTCTTGGGAGAAAAGCAATGACAAACCTAGACAGCATCTTAAAAAGCAGAGACATCACCTTGCCGACAAAGGTCCGTATGGTTAAAGCTATGGTTTTCCCAGTAGTGATGTATGGAAGTGAGAGCTGGACCATAAAGAAGGCTGATCGCCAAAGAATTGATGTTTTTGAATTCTGGTGCTGGAGGAGACTCTTGAGAGTCCCAAGGACTGCAAGAAGATCAAACCTATCCATTCTGAAGGAAACCAGCCCTGAGTGCTCACTGGAAGGACAGATCCTGAAGCTGAGGCTCCAATACTTTGGCCACCTCATGAGAAGAGAAGACTCCCTGGAAAAGACCCTGATGTTGGGAAAGATGGAGGGCACAAGGAGAAGGGGACGACAGAGGACAAGATGGCTGGACAGTGTTCTTGAAGCTACGAACATGAGTCTGACCAAACTGCAGGAGGCAGTGGAAGACAGGAGTGCCTGGCGTGCTCTGGTCCATGGGGTCACAAAGAGTCAGACACGACTAAATGACTAAACAACAACAACACAGTCTGCAGTTTGCAGTGGTTTAATGGCGTGAGTAGTTCTATTATGACCAAAGAGTCCTAAATGGCAACTCAACTCCTGACATGTCTTCATCTTTCATGTTTCTGGATATTCTCCTTTCCTCTCAGTTTTTGCATTAAACAGCTTTTGATTTCAGCTGGTGATAAAGCAGATAGCCTGTGCTTTATTATTAAGAGTTATTACAATTGTCTGTCACGCTGGAAAGATAAGCAATGAATGGTAGGCTCTTAATGTGGGCGCACAAAGGCACTGATTTCTGTTCTGCCCCATATTCGTCACATGCAGATCCATTTCTGTTTCACTGCAGTTCAGCTTCTGACAAAAACTACTGATTTCCATTCCAGGCAAATATGTGAACACCAGCCATTTCTGCTACTGTTTCCTTCAGATTTCTCTTTTAATCAAGCAATCCTGGCAGAGAGCCTCTCGCTTTTCCCTCAAAAAACATATTGCCTTGCTGGCAGCATTAAGATAAATTCAACAGTGTAAATAACTTTTGATGGAAATAATGGAAAATGGATTGGTATGGTTTTTCTAAAATATGCAGGGATATAAGATATGTAAAATGAACCATGGAAAGAGAAGGGAAGTCACTGATATCTTAAGTATGTAAAATGTTTATTTGAAATTGTAAAACAGGAAATTTAATAAAAATCATATTAAAAAACAACAAACAACAAAACAAATTTTAAAAAAATGTCCAGTAGCACCTTAGAGACCAACTAAGTTTGTTCTGGGAATAAGCTTTTGTGTGGAAAGAAGTATCTGAAGAAGTGTGCATGCACACGAAAGCTTATACCCAGAACAAACTTAGTTGGTCTCTAAGGTGCTACTGGACATTTTTTTGACTGCGTCAGACGAACACAGCTACCTACCTGAATCAACAAACAACAACACCTTGCCCCAAACACTTCATCAGGACTGTGTGGCTGCATTCAGACATAACATCATGGTCTTATGTTGCATTTTGTGTTTGTGCCACTCATGTGTTGATGGTTTGGGTTGATTGTATTGATCTTAATTTGTAAACCACCCAGAGGGCACAGATGATCGGGTGGCACAGAATAACTAACAATAGCCAACAATAATTAACACAGTTTACTTGAAGGATCATCTTACCACATCTGTACCCAACTGACCACTTCCATCGGCAGAGCTGGGATTTTTACAAGTGCCACATTATGTTCATTCCACACTTGCAAGAAATTGCTCTTTTTGTGTGGATGCACCTGCACTCTGGAACCCGATGCCTATTGACATCAGGAAGAGATCTTCATTGTACCCTTTTCAACACCTGCTTTACAAAAAAAAAAAGTCTAGACAAGCCTACCAAGACATGCAATTCCCTACATTTTTTTAAAAAAACTTCTTATTTTATCTATTTCAATCATTTTAGTTTATGTACCTGCTTTTGAAGTTTTGCTGAATTTATCAGTATTTCCTTATGAATATTTTAGATCATTTTATGTTATCTGCTTAGAATGTTGTTCTTATTAAGCGGTGTATCCATCTTGTTAATTGATTTGGGGCATCACACGTTCAGGTAGTTTCTCAAAGATGTGATCTCTCAAGCCCACATTCCCAACATGTTCGCACTCCTGTCTCAGCAACATCCACAGTGGTTGGCCATGCCCACAGAATGGAAGCTGGCAGGATCCGCAAGGATGTGTTCTGCAGAAAGCCGGCTTCAGCCACCAGGCCACTGGCAGACCAACTCCACTTTACCAAGGTGTCTGCTGACATGCCATGAAGACACCCTTGAAGACGTCTGCAGTTCCTGGAGACAGGCAGTCAGGTCATGAGTTCATAGTGGTGTTCAGAGGAAGAATTACAGCTGGGCAGAGCCTAGAGCAGGGGTCAGCCACCTTTTTCAGTCATGGGCCAGTCCACCGTCCCTCAGACCATGTGGTGGGCCAGACTATATTTTGAAAGGGGGGGGGGAATGAACGAATTCCTATGCCAAACAAATAACCCAGAGACGCATTTTAAATAAAAGCACACATTCTACTCATGTAAAAACACGCTGATTCCCAGACCCTCCACAGGCCAGATTTAGAAGGTGATTGGGCTGGATCCGGCCCCCGGGCCTTAGGTTGCCTACCCCTGGCCTAGAGCGAAGAAACGCCATGGTGCATCTGCAGCAGCTCAACCAGACATCTTCATCTGCCCCAGCTGCAACAAAACACGTCTCTCCCTTATCGGTCTCTACAGCCCCAACAGGGGCTGTAACTCTCTAACAGTTTGACTTCACCCCAAAGGTTGCACCCTTCCACTGTCTCCCGAGACAGGTGGGTGCCAACAGCAAATCTGAAATGGAAGCAAGCTTTGTAACTTCCCATTGAAGCCTTGCTGGAGAAAGAGAGGATTGGGTGGGAACCTTCAGCACAGGGGTCTTCATTTGGCCTGCAAGGCCATTTCCTCAAAACCACACACACATCTGGTGGGAGGCAGGTGAAGTTGTGGCTGTCTGTCAACACTAGACTCCACAAAGAAGGTCTTGTCCTGTATCTCAGGTGGTGGGGGAGTGGACCTTCCCGACATTAAATTAAGCATTTGCGCAGCTTCATATGAGAGGTGATGGTGTGGATAGATAGATAGATGATAGATAGAGAAAGAAAGAAAGAAAGAAAGAAAGAAAGAAAGAAAGAAAGAACATTATAAAAGGGAAATAGATTGTGTAATAAATAATAGTTTAAAAGAAATACATTGCAAAGCCAATATGCCTGTAGTTTTGTTCTAACTGCAAATAAACAAAGAGCGCAGGTTGGCAAAAGCATTTTGTCTTCCCATAAATATTGTTAATGTCAACGTGCGCATCAGTAAAGCTGTCTGCTTTTTATATTAGGTGGAATAGCTTGTACACAATTATTAGCTAGGGAACTCCTGCACCTAATTAACAAATTGGTACCTAACTGCCTATGTTCTACCTGAGCATGTGATTCTATATATTCAAGTAAGATAGTTTGAGGACTTGCTGTATTTCATATCCAGTTATTTCCTTTACCTATGCTAAATTTAATAAATGTTAGTGCCCTTACATTCCCAGCAAATGTGCCCAAAAGTTCCAGTTTGCAGCTTACATCTCCTATAAAATAAAAATAAAGTTCAATTTTGTCCCAGTTTCATGTGCATATATTTCTATCTCTATAGAATATTTTAGACATTTTTCTCCGTAGCCCATGTCTAATGAACAGCTTTGATTTTGCTTAAATATCTGTGACAATCATTGTTCAGTGTAAGCATTTATTTTATTTCTCTTCAAAACTTGGGTCCTGCCTCTCATTTTCCATTAGTCATTTATATACAATAAAGCAATAAGCCTTTGGACACTACATTAGGCCTCATCAAAATTTCAAAAGATGTAAGAGCGTTGGATAAATTAGCAGCCATTTTATGCTGTTCAAAACTTTGAATTTTACTATTTTTGGATAAATGAAGCTGCACACTGGGTGCTTTTGTGTCTCAAAACGGGTAGAGATTCGAGAAATAAATCTGGATAATTCACTATGGCAGGGTTGGAGGACTTATAGATTCATAGAATCATAGAGTTGGAAGGAACCCTGCGAATCATAATCCAACCCTCTGCCCTCTGCAATGCAGGAATCTTCTTCTTCTTTTTCTTCTTCTTCTTTGGCGATCTCTCGTAGCTGAGTAAGATTGTCTTCCATAAACACGGTTTTAACAGTGAGTCCGTAAGTGACTGTGGGGCCAGTTCTGGACCCACACATCCTTCCACAGTGGAGACATTTGTTCCCGAGCGGGAGTTGATCATGGTGTGGATTTGCTGAGCGTGCCTTCCTCTTAGCACATTTCTCCCTTGTGTCCTGAGTTCGAGTGTCTTCAAAGTCCATGACACCTTTGGTAAAGGCTGTTCTCCAACTGGAGCGCTCGCAGGCCAGTGTTTCCTAGTTGTCAGTGTTTATACTACATTTTTTAAAATTTGCCTTGAAGACAGTCTTTAAACCTCTTTAGTTGACCACCAGCATTACGCTTTCCATTTTTAAGTTCGGAATAGAGTAGTTGCTTTGGAAGACGATCATCAGGCATCCGCACAACATGACCAGTCCAACGAAGTTGATGTTGAAGAATCATTGCTTCAACACTGGTGATCTTTGCTTCATCCAGTACACTGATATTAGTTCGCCTATTTTCCCAAGTGATGTGTAAGATTTTTCGGAGACACCGTTGATGGAATCTTTCGAGAAGTTGGAGATGGCGCTTGTAAGGGGTCCATGTTTCACAAGCACGCAGTAAGGTTGGTAGTACAATAGCTTTGTAAACAAGCATTTTGGTTTCCCTGCAAATGTCCTGGTCCTCAAACACTCTGCACTTCAATCAGGAGAAAGCCGCACTTGCAGAGCTCAGGCGTTGCTGAATTTCAGCATCAATGTTGACCCTTGTGGAAAGATAACTGCCTAGGTAGGAGAAGTGATCAACATTTTCCAACGTTGCACCATGGAGTTGGATTTGTGGTGCTGCAGAGGGGTTATTTTGTACTTGTTGGTGCAGCACTTTGGTTTTTTGGATGTTGAGTGAAGGCCAAGCTTTTTGTAAGCTTCTGCAAAGATATTTAGGATGGTTTGGAGGTCATCCTCTGAGCATGCACACACTGGAGCCAGTGTGGTGTAGTGGTTAAGAGCGGTAGACTCATAATCTGGGGAACCGGGTTCGCATCTCTGCTCCTCCACATGCAGCTGCTGGGTGACCTTGGGCTAGTCACACTTCTTTGAAGTCTCTCAGCCCCACACACCTCACAGAGTGTTTGTTGTGGGGGAGGAAGGAAAAGGAGAATGTTAGCCGCTTTGAGACTCCTTCGGGTAGTGATAAAGTGGGATATCAAATCCAAACTCTTCTTCTACCACTACATTGTCATCGTTCTGGTCCCCTGGGTTTCACTGGACTAGAACTCTCACCATCCCCAACCATTGGTCATGCTGGTTTTTGCTGATGGAAGTTGGGAGTCCAGCAATATCTATTGGGTCACAGACTCCCCAGCCCTGAACTATAAAACTGGATTTCAAAATGTCATCCTTTCCCAACTAGAGGGCACAACAAAACATAGGCCAATGGAAGGGCACCAGAGAATTCAGCATATGTTAATTACTTGCCCTGTGCTCTAATAATAGTCTATCACATTGGGTGTCAACCAGTGCGCTGGGCACCCTGGGGAGACGAGAAACACTTGAGGGGAGCCGGGGGGGCTTTCATTAACTTGCAGCCCATATATTTCTGAAGAACATTCAGGGCAGCTGGCGGGGGCAGAACAGGGAGGAACGGGGGAATCCCCACTTATGCACATCATGTAACAGAACCTCAGTGGGAGTGGCTCCCCAAAAAAGAATGTGGGTGGTCAAGGGAGCCATGGACTTAAAAAGGTTGGGAACCACTGCTCTATGAGAGCTCATCCTTACTTGAAAAATTTCAAGCATTTTTGTTTAACCTGAGCCATTCTGAAAGCAAGAAGTCTGTACCCATCCGGTCAAAGATCTAGGGAGATCTGTTTTACCAGTACTCACTGCAATTAGAATGGCGGCATATTATACTGGCATAGCCGTTCCTCCTTGAAGCAAACTTTGCAGATATGTTTAATTTTGCTATGGCGGTTTTTATTTCCATTGCCCGGGGCAATACCCTTCATCTGACCATGCGCCCCATTGAACTCAGTAGGACTTGCTTCTGAGTAGACATGGAATGCACCGTGAAAACCTTTTGAGAAATTATTCAAGAGTGATAGCAAGAAGACTGAGAATGTAAGTACGTTTTTCATTTTTATTATGAAGATCCTGACCAGCTTGGTGTTAGTCCTTGGTATTAAATCCAACTCCAAACTAAATAGTAG